CGGTCTAGTACAGCTACCGGTCGCTCCTCGTACGAAAATCTGGCTGAACCTGAATATCTGAATGAGAAATGACATGATCGGGGTCGCACACGTACTTACACAACATAGATGCTGGAACACATTATGAAAGCCTGATAACTCGGGAGGTAGGGCTAATCGATACGGAACCTCGCCTACTCGCTCGAGAACTTCGATCGGGCCAATAAATCGAGGGTGCAGCTTCCCTCTCTTTCCGAATCGAACAACTCCGCGAATCGGACGAACTCTGAGAAAAGCTGGCTCGCTAACCTCAAACTGAATGTCTCGTCGATGATGATCGGCTGAAGATTTCTGTCGACTCTGAGCTGTCTTTAGTCTCTGCCAGATCAACTCGACCTGATCTGCTGTCTCATCGATCAACTTGGGACTGAGTACTCGTCGCTCTCCGACGTCGTCCCAATAAAGAGGGGAACGACACTTGCGATCATAAAGTTCCTCGTAAAGAGCCATCTTAATAGAAGAATGATAGCTGTTGTTATACGCGAACTCGGCGTACGGCAACAACAACTCCCACTTCGCACCCCTGTCAACAACCAAAGCGCGAAGCATATCCTCAAGTGTCTGAATAGTCCGCTCTGACTGACCATCTGTCTCTGGATGGTAGGCTGAACTGAACTCTAATTTCGTGCCCACTGCCTCGTGTAAACTGTGCCAGAATCTACTGAAGAATCTGGGATCTCTGTCGGATACGATAGTAACGGGCACTCCGTGGAGTCGAATGATCCCACGGGTATAAATCTCAGCCAACTTATCCAAAGACATCTTCATCGAAACGGGTAAGAAATGAGCAACCTTAGTCAATCTGTCGACCACGACCCAAATAGCATCGTGATGTTCAGATGACCTCGGTAATCCTGTAACGAAATCCATCGTGACTTCTTCCCACTTCCACCTCGGAATCGGCAGTGGTTGCAGGAGGCCGATCGGACTCTGATGTTCGGCTTTGACTTGCTAATAGGTAAAGCATCTCCTGACGAACTCGGCGACGTCTTTCTTCATCCCTCGCCACCAAAATGACCTTTTCAGGTCATGATACATCTTCGTGCTCCCGGGATGGGCTAGATAGGGTGCGGTATGAGCCTCTGATAAAATCTCCTTCCGCAACGCCTCGACTTTCGGGACCACGATCCT